TAAGTTTATATGTGTAATGACATTAACTTCAATAAATTGTTTAACCCTTTTCATCAACCGTTTCTTTATTCGTTCATGTTGACGAATTATCCGAAGAAGCTCCTTAGCCATCAAGAGCATGTCCATCGTCTCTTGTCCGGTCACTTCTGCTTCTCTTCTCCATTTCTGCTTTCTTTTTTGCGTTCCGATGATGCCTCTTCTGCATGGAGTCATTAATAGGAATCTCTAATTTACCTTTTTGGTTTAGTCTTCGAATATGTGGGGTTTGACCGGGAAATTGAATAATTCCTATTTCAGTGGGAAAATGAATAAACAGCTTGAATATTCAATTTCTACATGTGGGCGGGAATTAAACGCCAACTCAAACAAGTTTCACTAATGTTACTTTACCTCTTGAAATCATTAAGCACTTTTCAAAAAAAATAACTGTAGGGAATCAGTATTGTGTTGCATATTCTGTTGCTTCTGCTCATTCTGCTGCATCACACTTTTCGCTTCTCTTCAGGATTATTTGAGTGCACAGTAAAGATAAGGTGTGGGTTTTTAAAAAATTGTGCAGGGCTGTGCAACATTAGGGGTTGAGACCATAATTCATTTTTAACATGGGAGATAAAGTTATCCCGGTGTTTATAGTTCATGCACGTAACACGGCTCATAAATCATTTAATAATCATTCTGTAATTATTCCAGATATTCCAATGTCGCCATCACAAGCTCATTAGACAGTCCTCAACTCCTTTTGTCCTTAGTGGTAAAATATTAGTGATAACATGTGTCAGTGCTTACCCCACCCAGACCAGCAACACATGATGGATCTGTCTATATCAGCAGTAACTTGGAAAATCAATAGACTTTTGCCAGACAATAGCTATATGGCGTGCCAGATAAAGCAAGCTGAATGGAATGTAAAACATAACAGTTATATAAACACACACACACACACAAAAGCAAATAAAGCATTTTTTTTATCCAACACAGCCCCAAACACAAGAACTAATGCAAACTATCTATTTTGCATTGCAGTGAATTGAAGTGGCAAACGAGAGGCAGAATTTGTAAAAAAAAAAATTTTTTAAATAATTTCTAGACTGAGTGTTCTATATTCAGTCAAATGAAAGCTTAAAGACATTTTGGTTTTCATTTATTTTAATAAAATACTGGTGCTTATGCTTATAACACTGGCGCCAACTACTTATGTCTGTGGTGTTGCACAGACAAATTATCAAATTGATAAGATTATATTTATCAAAATTTAAATGTAAAATATGTAAATTGGGGACAGTTTTTTCTTAGATATTATAAAATGTGTATTTATAACCAATTTAATTAAAGTGCACGTTTAATAAAATATACTGTATGTTCACAATATAACACTATAATATTTGTGTTAAACATGTTTTGCTCCCATTACATCCCAGAAGTAATTTTTTAAAGATTTATGTTTGGCATTTTTGCCTTTATTGCGATAGGACAGTATGATGACAGGAAGCGAAGTGGGAGAGAAAGAAGGGAATGGGATCGGGAAAGGTCCTTTGATGTATAGTAAGAATATGCAGATTTTGTTAAACACTAAATTCAATGAAATATGTAGGCTATTAATTAAATGAAACTCGATTGAATGTGCATTTGAAAACAAAATGTAACTTTAAACAGTGCACACATTTTTTCATCCCACAGAATATAAATATGCAAATATTTTGATTATTGGTATTTAACAATGTCTGTGTGTGTGTGCGTGCGTGTGCTAGTATATATGTACTGTATGTATGTATGTATGTATATACACACACACACACACTTTATGCTACTTTTTGCTTACTTGAAAGGACAACAGTAAATGAAACAGAAAAAGATAAACAATGTTTTTCACCTTGCAGGCAGTCTATTTTAAATAATAATAATTATTATTATTATCATATGACCGCATGTTGACTTTTTCTTATCATCCTGCTCTTTAAACTTAGTTAATGTTTAATCTAGTTTCAGAAATGTCCTGTGTTGAAATAGGTTATTATAAATAAGGGATGTTCAGAATGTTTTGGTTTCACCTGGTGAGAGGTTTGAGAGGTGGTGACAAGCCTGCTGTAAGAATCATTTGTTGCTCCTGCAAGAAAAATAATTTCTGTGAGTATTGCTTCATATAGAGAGAATTGTTGACAAAATAAATGTCATTTATTTAAGTTTAAGAATAAATTATATGTTGTATATGTTGAGTGTAGTGATGTCAGTGGCATCTTAAAAATGACTAAAAATAAAATATGATAAAGTAAGCAAAAATAAAATAAATATATAACCCAGTCTGTCAGAATTTACAAAAAATAAAAAATAAATTTAGAGATGCTTATTTGTAACGCAACCTCTGAATGAAGGGGGTCAGCACAAAATTCTGCCGTGTCATGAGTGCCACTCACAGTTTTGTTTTGTTTTTTTCAGTAAATTAAAATGTATTTGTCTCAAATCATTAACACTAATGCACCAGTTTTTATTTTCATACAGCAAGAATGGCTAAAGTGGTGTCCATAGGTTGCAGATTGAAGTGCCAAAAAATTCTTATGTAACTTATGTCTGTACAGTGATTCCTGTACTTTGTCCTACCTGTGCAGGCATGCTGCTTCTCATCCAGGGTGTGACTCTTTTTATTCAGCAGTATTGTGCTTTTTGGCAAGGCTTTGATCATTTTTGTAACCATTAGATTTTGCACACATGATCAGCAAGGAGAGTGTGACTGCAAAAAAAAAAAGAAAATCATTATACGTTACTTGGTCTGCTGGATTGTAAATTTACCTTTTTTATGTTTTTATTGGTCAGTAAAATTGTACAGTTCCTTATTATAGGCCTACCATCAGGTGACAGTAGAAGTTGTAAGTCTCAGTGTAAGTAGCAGTCTCAATTTTGAGGTAGAAAATTTATTTTATTCTATTATTATTTTACAACATTTATAATTTTTTTAAATTATTATTAAGAACAAAAACAATGAAGATTCCAGAGGTCTGCTAAACAAAAATTAATGTCATTTACTGAATTTTAATTGGGGGAAAAAATTATAATAAAGCACCTCTGTTCAGTGTTCTTGTGATTTCAGTGTCATTTAAAATTGACTGATTTAAAATAAAAAATTAAATAAATCTATCAGCTATGACTTTGGCGACTGTTCAAAATTCTAACGGGCCGTTTTTATTAATATTTAATTCATTTTTAAAGTTTTTCTTTTTACATGAATCTACAATCTTTACCCTATACAATGACAAAGCAAAAAAAAAAGAATTGCGATGACTGCAAATTATTATTAATAATAATAATAATAATAATAATAATAATAATAATAAAATAAATAGTTGCATTGCATACTATCACTTGTCTATTGTCTTGTTACGGATGCTGTTTATTCTATTTCCAGGGCTACATTTTAACAATGGGTAACAAGATACCATTAAGAAACAATTCAGGATGTCTTAAAGAAATAAACAAAACAACAATATTCAAACAGGAACAGCCCCAAACCTGGTGTTGCTGTTGTGAAAAACAGGTGTCATACAGAATTCCAGCTCTCGTCTATCTCAATGTCGACCAAACCTTCCTTGCCTTTGCTGAAAAGAGAAAAACATTAAGTGACACAAACGCAGAAGTGCTTATGCTGAGAAGAGGAACATGGAAGGATGCCAAGAATCAAGAAGTTGAGGTATAAAATAATTAAATATTATTCAGGACAGTTTTCTTAACAACTTAACTATTTCAGAGATGCTTTACACAGCCTGGCATGAACACAGTCATGATGCTTTTATATTTCAGTGGGACAGTGGTCATCAGGTGCTCTCTTCAGCTTGTCTACCAAACCACCGCAGCATGAATCCATGTCCGGTCTATGAAAGAGAATCCAAGACCCTCTTTCTGTTTTTTGTCTGTGTTCCCACTCGAGTCTCTGAATATGAACAAATACGGACGAACAAGAGCCAGGGACGACTTTGTTATGTAACCAGTACGGATGCTGGCAAAACCTGGAGCCATACTATAGACTTGACAGCAGATGTGATCGGTGAGCAGATGAAAGAATGGGCCCCATTTGCTGTTGGACCAGGACATGGTTTTCAAATGAAGAGCGGAAGACTGATTATCCCAGCATATGCTTATCGTTACACAGGTAAACCTGATTGCATATCATGTTGCTGCTTATCGTTTTGCTGTTTCACACCTTATGCCTTAGCATTCTACAGTGATGATCAAGGAATCAAGGAATCAGTGGGGAACCAAATTAATGTTGAGTCGTGTGAGTGTCAGATGGCTGAGATCATTGACGAGA